CCTGGCCAAGCTGTGGGCGGGCAGGATTGCTGGCATCAAGGCTCAGCTGGTGGTGCCAGGTGGGATTTGGTTCTTCTCTGTCTACTTGTTCGATGGGCTCGGCTTGGGGGGTAAGAACATCACGCTCCTGCACAGCCTGGGCCGCTGGCTGGCGGAGCTGTGCGCGCCGTGGGTGATCGGCGGTGACTGGGGCGTGCCTGCCAGCGACGGGGGGGTCGCCAGCTGGGCGCGGCTCCTTGGGGCCTCCGTGGTGGCAGCGGGAGGCGCGACTTGTCGCCCCAGCGCTGGGGCCCGGAGGGAGCTGGGCTTCTTTGTTGATCGCGTGGGCTTGCCTCTTGCGTGCGCCAGGTGATGGCGCGGGCGGAGGCGCCCTCGGCTCCCCGCTCGCCGATCGAGCTGTGCATTTCGGGCTTCTCGCTGAACCTGTCCGTCCAAGTCCGCCTGAAGTGGGGGAAGTTCCCGACGGCGAGGCAGGTGGGGTGCCTCCCCGAGCCGTTGGTCCACAGCTGGAGCTGGGCGGCGGAGGGGGAGGGCCCAACGAGCGTGGGTCTTGCGGGGGCGTGGCAGGAGTGGCTCAGGAGCATGGGGGATGAGCTCTGCTGCCAGTTCGACCTTCGAGGGCCAGCAGTCGAGAATCATCGTGGCAGGGCCGACGGCATGAGCCTTCGCACCGCCGCGCTGGACGCGCTAGTCAAGAGGCGCCAGATGCCGGGCCAGTCGGAGGCCGCCAGGGCTTGGCAATCCCTGGCCGCGGTGCTGGGCAGGGCGCGGTCGCTCTGGAACGGCCTCGCGGGCGCCGACCGCAGCGGGGGGGGGCGGCCTAGGGTGCGAGCGGGCTGCCGCGGGCGCGCGGGTGGTCGATGCCTCCCGCAGCACCCAGCTCCCCGCCGACGCCGCCGACGGGCGGGTGGCCGATGCCGTCCGCGGGTCGAGCACCACCCCCTCGCAAGGTCAGGGAGCCTTCGAGGTCGTGCTGCCGCCTGGTGGACGGCCCTTCCTGCGAGGTCGCGGAGCTGGCGGTGCTCCCCACGCGCAGCTGCAGTCTGGGCCTGGTCGTGGGTCCCAGCCCTCGCGGGCTAGGAGGGAACGCGCGCCCGCGCGACGATCCCAGGAGCTGCCTGGTGTGGGGGGCTTGGCGGCCTGCGCGGAGGGCCTTAACCTGGGTTCGTTGAGGATTGAGCGACCAGGGTCACAGCAGGCAGCCCCAGAGACCAGTGCTTCTCTTCATGCTGGTGGGGGAGGTTAGGGTGCAGCTAACGCGGTGGAACAGCTGCGAGCGTGGCCCGAGGAGCTGCGCGGCCGGGTGCGCGACCTTCATGCGGCCATCGGCCGCGAGGCCGACGGCCGTCTTGGGTCCAGCGAGCTGGCTGACTGCAGCTTCTCGGTTCCTGAGCTCGGAGCGGCGCTGCTCGTGGGCGGGGCCAGCCTGGCCCAGGCTCAGTAGCGTCTCCGCGAGCATGCCGACGCGGTCGGCAAGCAGCAGCAGCAGGCCGCCTGGCAGACGGAGGCTCACAGGTGCAGCATTTTCAGCCCTCGACGGGCCCTCGGACCCCGACGGGGCCGCGCTGCAAGGGGGCGCTGCCGTGGAGGCGCTGCTCGCCGAGTGGCAGGCCTACTGGCAGGCGGGCAAGGCGCCGCGCGGGGCCGAGGCGCTCGCGGCGGCGCAGAAGGAGGTGCTCCCGCGGGCCAGCCCGGTGGGCCTCAAGCGGGTGCTGGGCCGCTTTGCCCACCGCGCAAGGGCTGGCAGCGACTGCGTCAACCCTAGGTCATGGCTCTTGCTGTCTGATGGGTTCCTGGTGCGCATCCCTGACTTGATAGAGCTGCGGGGGCGTTCGCCCTCCTGGTCCGCTCTCTGGCCCGCGCTAGTCATCTTCATCGGGAAGGATGGCGGCGGTCTCAGGCCGATCGCGTTGATCGCCAGCTTGCTGCGTGTGCGGAGCTGCCTGCGGGCGGACCTGGCCCAGCAATGAGAGCGCGTTCGCAGGCTTGCAGCATTTTGGGGCGTGCGTGACAAGTCTTGCGGCCGCGCGGGCTGGGGGCGCAACGTGCTGGGCTACTGCGCCCGCGCGATCGGTTAGGGGCCAGGCTCCCTCTTCACGGGCTTGAAGAAGGCGCGCGGGTTCGTGTCGCGTGCCACCTTGGGCAAGGAAGCCCAGGAGGTCTGCTTCAGCATGCGCGTCCTCCGAGCGGCGTGTGCGCTGTGCAGCGGGCCGCGGGCGATTTCCTTCCAGGATTGCTGCGGCGCGGCGGTCGCGGTGGACGGCGGGGCGGTCCTGGCGGGCTGCGGCCTGGCGGCCGCGATGATCAAGGCCATGCTCTACCGCGTGTTCGTCAGCCTCGGCCGCGAGCACCCGGCGGTGGTGGCGCGCAGCGCGGTGGACGACGTGTCGGCGAAGTGCATCGGGGCGGCGAAGCACGCGGCGGAGCAGTCGGGCTCGGTGGGCCGCGAGCTTGCCGCGACCTTCTCTGGCCGAGGCCTCGTGCGGCAGGGAAGCAATAGTTATATATAATATGATGTTTTTAAAGGAAAAAATATATCGCATCCTGCCAGTCTGTTGCCGACCGTTTGTCCGTCGAGTGGGGGGCTCTCGGGTTCTGGGGCAGGGGGGTCGCTCGCAACTTGGGCGCGGATGCTGCGACGGCGGGCAGGCGTAGGGTTCCGATTGCGCCGCCCAGGATGTGCGAGGGTTTCCGCCGCGCGTGGCGCCTCAGAAAACTGCGCGAGGTTGGCGCGAATATATGTGCCGTGCACCGCGCGGGGCCCTAATCGGCTTGCCTGTGGGGCTCGGCTGTCGTGGGGTTGCCCGGCAGGAAGCTCCACGCTCTTCGTTTCCAGGCCGTGTGCAGTCTCGTTCGCAGGAAGAGGGCGGCCCTGACGGGCCTGCGCCTCCTAGGCTCTACACTCGGGGCCCAGCTTGACCCGGCCAGGCTGTGCCGCGGTGAAGTTATTTACATGTGGGCGCGCGCCGTCTGGGAGGGCCCCCCGCCGCTGGACATTCTTCAGGCTTGTTTCGTGTCGGCGCGGGGCCACCCCCAGGCGGCCGCCTCGAAGTGGGGGGCCGCCGCGTCGCCCGCCCATGTCTGGCTGCCATCGCTCGCTGATCTGGGGTGGAGGGCGGAGTCGGCTCGGGCGGTGGTCTCGGAAAGAGGGGGGGGGAGCTTGACTTGCTTAGGATTTCGCCCGGCCTCGTCCGCCAGCTCGCAGAGAGGGCGGCGTCGGGGGCATCCGACGTAGCCTCGCTCGCCAAGCGCCAGCGAGTGCAAGCCTGGCTCAGACCAGTTTTTTGGCGAC